TAGTAGTAGTAGTAGTAGTAGTAGTAATACTAGTAGTAGTAGTAGTAGTAGTAGTACTAGTAGTACCCCAGTCGCCCCTTGCACCGACTAGTACTAGTACTAGTAGTACTGATACTACTACTATTATTAGAAATATCCCTCGTTCATAATTATTTTTGGTGCTGGATACTACTACTACTACTACCGGTATTAAAACCTAGCCGCCGTTTCACTTCTTTTCCGGCCCCCATACATACCGGTAATTATTAACAATAGACCGGAGACACTTTATGCAGTACCAAAGATTTTTGGTCGTGGTTACGATTACGTCACCGAAACCGAGAAGTACGGTAGTACAATGAACATTACAGTACAGTCCTAGTAGTACAGTACTGTAACAGGTACGGTACCAGGTAGTGTCGTCGTCTAGGCGATGGTTTGATTGCTCTTCAGAAATGCTACCAGCAGTAATTGTACCGGTACCGTTGGACGGTATGTTTGAACGATTCTAGTAAAACAAATGCGGTAGTACGTACCGTACCGTACTGTAAAATAATATCAGGGTGGTGGGAGCTTCGTTGCTGAAATTGCCAACTAAAATCAACGTGAAGTTTTATGCTTGCTTGTCGGAACCGAGAGTAAGCTGCTAATAATTACTGTATTACAGTATTATAACAATAAGTATTCGAATTTTTGGCCAATATGTCAAACATGATGATAATTAAGGATTCGTTGTACTACTGGTTCAAACAGCGTTGTAGTCCCGGGTACTACGACAATTACGTACTTCAAGTACGTGATACGATTCATTTTTCTTTCAAGTCGGGGGAATAGATCCTTTTTCGCACTGCATATATAATGGAAATCCCATTTCACGATACTATGTCAACCCCCGGGCCTAATATGAGTTTCTGCAGACGCGTTACTGTACCAACAATAATAATAGTGTTGCACTACTGTTATTTTTAATAACTATTTTTTTATATTACGATCTTGAAGAAAGCGTAGAAAACCTACTTAATTGTAGTATTGCGTGACTGTGATAATTATTAGAAGTAGTAATTTTGAAGTTTTTCCTTCTCATAGGCGAGGGACACAATATCTTACGATGCTCGGGTAGTAGTAATAATTCATATTTAAAGGCACGGGTACTATTGAAACATCTACAAACAAAGTAGAACTAGTAGTGTCAGCCTAAGCGGAGTCTCACTTTTATATATCTACACTTCTTACATGTAATGATTCCAATAATAGCAATATTTCTCCTTGTTCGATACCAACACACGTGCAACCACAATTGTATTTGTTGACATCCGCCATCAAAAGGCAAAAAATTAACAGAATCGATCCCGTTCGATAGATTCTGATGCTCAGAAACCAATATATATCACAGAATGCTTTCGGTCCCTGCGATGGTAGTGTATCATTTATCCGATTCGGTAGTACAAATACCGTGCAGGTACGGTAGAGTAGGAATCTGAACACATTTTTACGAAGATACCAAGAAACACAAACTTTCGGATTTGCAATTGCGAACTTTCTCGTGCTTTACGACGTATAGCACGAAGGAATCGCAATCCATCCCGGCGTGCATGCTATCCTCTCACAATCCATTGAACCATAAAAGCTAAAGGACAAGAAAACAAAGCATCCGTTCTGCATATTCAGTGCCTGTTTCATCGACTCAACTCGTACTCTCTTCGCCTTTCTATTCGAATCCTTCTGTGGTAATTTCGATTCTGCACCTCACACCGACGACATGAAGCTTTCCTTTTTCTTCTTCTTCGCCCTCGGAGCATCCCCCCTCGCCTCTGCCAACGAGAAATACGTGGGACCCTCGCCGTTCCAGATCGGAGACCCCACCTGCGTCGTCCAGAAAGAAGAAGACTGTAAGAAGCTTGCCCAAAGCGCGGGGCGCCCCTTCAAGAAAGTCAACGCGGCATGGGGTGGTGCTTATCGCGGCTGCTACAAGCACCCGCTCAATAAGGGACCTGAAGGAGTCGAGTACCACTGGACCCCCGGCGGCGACGCGAATAGCAACGGCGTGACCCTCCCCCCCGAAAAGGGAGCAATCAACTACAACTACGCAAGGGTTTATTGCGGAGAAAACAAAGGAAGCAAAATCACATACGACTTTCCGAAACTCAAAGGAGAACTGGTACACGGCCTGTGCGTGCAAGGTGCTTCCCCGAACGGGGTCCGCGCCTTCAACGATGAAAAAAACTTGCCGTACAATTACTTTCCCGATTTCAATACCGGCACGACACTCTTTGGTGACAAGGGCTGGACACCAGTTAACAAGGAACTCGATGCCGACATGTGCGTGGGCGGGATCTACGCCCAGCCCAGACAGCACAGAACTCCCAAATCAGCGAAGATTACGCTGGAGGCGGCTTCCCTCGAGGGAAATTCTTTCACAGTCTGCGCCTTCGTTGAATCAACCGATCCCAAACGCAATGGTGGATGGGACGATAAACTTGAAAGAGAGGGTTTCACCGTCTCGGACAAAACCATTGGATGGAACGGTGGCAGAAACCAGGGCACGTTCTATTGTAAGACTATGTCGGATCCGAACGGGCCTGAACCAACGCAGCCTCCAACACAGGCTCCAACATTAGGAGAAGTGGGCATTGTTGACTACAGATTCCCCGACACGACTACTGGGCGGTTGGTGCATGGTTTGTGTGTCAAAGGGAAAGTTTCCAAAAAAG